GCGTGTGTGACCTTCTCTCCCCAATCACAGCGCTGCAGACACCGACACTGGCCAGAATGAAGCAGCATGCATCGTGCTGCCGAGGAGTTTGAGCACTAAATCCTCTTTCCTTCAGAGAGGATAAAACACGCAAGCCACACACACACTTACGGTCCTGCACGAGCAGGACTCGAAGACTCCAAGCCCACATTAGTCCCTAAACACACTGGTTTAGTTGTGGACTGGCCACTGCAGGCAGTAAACAGTACTGTTTACTGTAGATCACATTACAATGCTGGGTTAAAATAGGAACGGGATGCCATAAGGAGCACTGGACTAGCTGGGATTGTACCAGTATGAAATGCCTCAGGCTCGCAGTGGCACGGCAGGACTCATATCTACTGCAGCAAAAAGCTGCCGAGGTGAGTCTGTTCTCTTTACTCTATGATTCAGAACAATGACTAATATCTGTGCACTGGTGAGGTCTATGAAAGGCCGGTTTGTGTCACTGCAGAGCTGTGGGTGTCTGTTTCACTGGTCTCTTCTGCTGGTTTAGTGGAAGCTTTTGACATTCTGGCGTAACTCAACAGGATGTTACAGAAAATATTCCCATATTGCATCGACACGCTCACTGCAGAACTGAAAACTGCCTCCCTGGAAGAGTGTGACAGTTTGATTAAAGATGTTGAAATGTCTACAAAGTGCCAACACCGTGTTTGTAATAAGCCTAATTTGTTGTCTGTTAATGCACACATGAATTCAAGCAATGCATATACAGCGGGGCTGAACACAAATCAGAATATATACATGTGCTCCATTTCAACTCCCAGAATGTTTGAAATTTTAACGACAGGAAAAACAATAATTTACCAAATAGCATTTAATTAAGAACTTTCACCCTGGATCATAAAATGTATTTATTTGTAATGAAATATATAAATGCCCATTTCTGTAGGTGGCATTTTAAACATGATTATGCTATAATTTCTGGAAAAACAGCCAGTATGATATAATTTATAGACAATGTAATTTATCATGATGCTGGTAGGGGTGTGCGATATTGACAATTATCTCTTGATATTTTCTGGGATTTTATCGATAACGATAATTAGATGATATTTTGCCGAGTGTGCTGGTATCTTAAGGACTGCCGAAGACAGCTGACTCCTAATGTTTTTAATATTCTTTATATTCTGTGTGGTGGTCGGTTCATACTGATAGAAATTAATCTTTTCCAATAGGTTTAAACTGATTTTTGCATTTTATGGGCATTTTTACCTTTATAAAGCCATTTTTTCTAAAAGTGTCCATTATCTTTTGAGTCAAATTCTTACATTTAATCAGTGAATTAGAATAATAAGACATTCGGGCTGTTACCGAGCAAATTAAATCAACACAGAAGCTGCATCTGAAGTGGCATTTAGATGTATTTACACACATGTATTTTGTTTAATGCAAGACGTGAATGCATTTAACCTGCAATTACAAATGCATAAATAATGTTTTGGTATGTTAAACATAAAACGCTGAATACTGATTTTAAAATGATTTAAAACATGAAAGAAAGAAAGCCGAAATGTGAAATTAAAGCCTCCAGCAGGTGGCAGCAAAGTACTGTTAATAAGCGAGTCACTGCGATTGAATCGAATCATTTAAACGAGTGATTCATTCAGGAACGAAACACCGTCATGTTGCTCAGAGACACAAAACAGAGCTGTGGCTGTATTCGGGATGATTTTTGTTGGC